GTCCTGTAATATAAATCATAGTTGTCATTTGTCTTTGGTATCACTTTCAAATGACTATAATAATGGTAAAAGTAACGGAAACTATGAAACCAAATTGTGAATTGAGTATAAACAACTACTGTAATAAATATATACATGTCGGAGCAGTGGCATTGCTGTCAGCTGTCATTGTCATTACATGTCACAGAGCTTATAAATTAACGTCAAACTCAAATTAATTCAAAACCGTTAATGCTAGCTTATTTGACTTCTCGATATTGCTAGATCGATAAATTAACGAATATTAACGTAATATCAATCATTATTATTATTAGAAGGAATTTTAGTCGGAGCAAGGGCATCTGACGGCCATCGCTAAGACATACATATATTCTTTGATTAACTGAAATGAAGAAATTTCAGTTTAGTAAATAAATAACTATTCAAAGTCAAAAATCATTTATTTTATTGCCAGTTCTCAAATCAATGGCGTAGAACGGAAGAGAAGAACTGGCAATAAACTCTCCGCCACTCTTTTTAATCGCCAAGTTTTTTCTTCTACACAACGTTTGTAAGGAGCTGCAACCATTACACCACGTTCCATATTATGACATCTTAAGTAATAAATAATAATAAAATAAATTAAGAACAAAGATTTGTCCTCTATCAGCAGGAGGCATGGTGAAATAGGAGCACGCAAATACATAGTCGAAACAAATAACATCACCGCATACACGAATTCAAGTACCACCAGTCACCACAAGTAGCACCCATTCACGAGTATGACGCATGGCCAGCCATCGGCCCCCTCGCCATATTTTAGGGAGAGAGACAACCCGAAGCATGGACGCCGCCACAAGCAATGACATTTAAGCGAGCATGACGATCCTTGAAATGTGGACTTGGCTACATAAGAAAAGCTTCTTATTGTTGCGACGCTTTAAATCTGCGCTTTCAAATCACTGCGATGTCGGCGTACTCTGAAACGCGCTAAGTTATTCCGGTCGCTAAGGATATATGGAACTTCTCGATCTAAGTCACTGGAGCCTTCGGGCTGGCCAGTCAATAGTAAGGCTGGTCTAGGATTCTCCCTTTAGGTCAGAATCTCCGGCACACCTTCCTCCACGCTATTTACCATTAATTCTATGGAAGTCATAATAGCCATTTCAAACAGGATTAAAATTAGGATTCAAAAAGTTAAATTGAAATTCAACTTGAGAGTTGCAATTGAAGTTTTAGCTTTTTCGTTAATTGTTGTTGCTCAACTATTATTGCACTCGAAATACTTAGCTCGCACCCAGCTTTTTCAGGAAACGATTCAGACTTAGTAGATAGTTTTGTTAAATGTATTTAACAAATTATAAATTAAAATTAATACCTTAAATACCATCCGTATCACCTCGACGTCCGTCGTTCCACAACTGAGCGTTTTCTAAGGCAGTTTTTGCCGCGCACCACCACTATGTGGAACCAGCTGCCCACAGAAGTATTTCCGAACCAATTCGACTTAGGGTCCTTCAAGAAAAGAGCGTACCAATTCTTGAAAGGCCGGCAACGCACTTGCGAGCCTTCGGGCATTGTGAGTGTCCATGGGCGGCGGTATCACTTAACATCGGGTGAGCCTCCTGCCCGTTTGCCTCCTATTACATAAAAAAAATGTAAATATGATATTATAAAGCGTACAAAATATACAAATATAATAATTAGAAACTATTTCATTGATTGCTAATGTACATAATATACATTAATGTAACTAAACCCAGTCCTAGCTTGTCATGGCTGAATATTTCTTTATTTTGGAAAGGTCACTTTGAGATAACTTGAAATCGGAACAGAAGTTTGTGGGTTTATTCCATACAAACACAAAAATACAATCAATATCAATCGCTTCTTATATATATGAAATGTGAATGCAAACAATACTGTACGATTTATATAACATATATTTAAAAAAAAACCTCTAACATTGTTTCATCAATCTACTCATTTAAAAGATTAAAAGCTGTGTGTTAGTAATGAATAAACCAAATTATTATATGGTCTAAGATCCCTATATACAACGACCTTCACCGAGATGCTTATTTAATGAAACGTATTTTATATTTAATTTAATATGTCAATAAATATAATCCATATGGGTTGCCTAGCAAATTTCAGTCCAGAGTATGTTTAATTAATATTTAAAAAAAAATATTTTTTTAAACATTTCACCGGTATGATTATTAGATAAATTCTATACCAATCGAAAGTATGAAGCCCATAGAATATGCAAACGTTAGGTTGTTTTTAATCAATTAATTATTTATGTGTATATTTTTTATGTGACACTAAAGTATATATACATCTTTAGTAAAAAAGAAGGTTATAGTGATACATATATAATACTACCCTGATTAAAAATTTTGAATGAAAAAAATTAAAAAAATTTACTACATGCAAATTTAAAAAAAAATTTTTTTTTTTAAATATTAATTAAACATACTCTGGACTGAAATTTGCTAGGCAACCCATATGGATTATATTTATTGACATATTAAATTAAATATAAAATACGTTTCATTAAATAAGCATCTCGGTGAAGGTCGTTGTATATCGGGATCTTATACTAATAGTAGTGAATATTTCTCAGTGACAGTTTGAATCTTATCGAACTTCGATCATTCCAAACATTAGCATCAGGTAGTTTGTACTAAATATAGATAATTAGATAGATAGAAAAGGTTATTTTGATAAGCAGAAAACGCAGACTGATTTTGTTTACATAAGTGAATATTTATAAAAGGTTTAGGTTTTATGTTTTGTTGGGCAGTGGGCAGGCATTTAGGTGTATTACTTTGATCTCTTAAATAGTACACAAGAACAGAGTCTTATTTGAGACTGTAAGTAGTGTTATTGGACTCTTTCTTATGTTAAATCCTTTTAAGTAAATTAGGTTACACTTAAATTACTTATTAGTCTTAAATTAGGCTAGATCGTAATGTTAAATTATTTGTGTAGAGACAAATAATTTTTTTATAAAAATAAAAGTTCGTTATGTAACGTATGTTATGTACGTAGTGTCTTAATATTAAACTACGACATGCCGGTTTCCTTACAATGCTTAGCTGTACTATCGAGGGTTAATATAGCTTGCTTGAACAACCTCATAGCTGATAATCTACCATATATAGTGGTCATAGTTAAAATTCTCTCCAAGAAATAATAAGAATTGTCTTTACAACGCAGCGGCTTAGTATCAAATCTCTTACACAGTTCAACATAAGCGAATCAAATCTTAAAGAATATACAACAAAATTTGGAAAAAGAAATCCATACACAATGATTTATCAGATGAGTCTCAAATATTGTAAAACATAAATCACTGTCGATCGTTTCCGATCACGTATCGTTCCTTATCTTCGTGGGAAGCATTTGTTGACATTGATAAGCTGATAAAAATACTTGTAATTAGGAATAACGATTTTTACTTTAGGGTGCGAACTGTAACATTTGTTCTAAATTCGTATGTATTTTTGACTACTCCCATAGTATTTTTATTATTAGTAGTGTATGTCTGGGGATCGGTATTGGCCTAATAGCTTAAGCGTGCGTCTCTCATCCCTGAAGTCGTGGGTTTGGTCCCCGGCTTTCCAATGGACTTTCTTTCTATCTGTGCATTCAACATTCGCTCGAACGGTGGAAACCAGCGACCTAAAAAGTCGACGGTGTGTCAGGCACAGGAGGCTGATCACCTACTTGTCTATTAGATTGAAAAATGATCATAAAAAGATTCAGAACTATAAGGCCTAGAATAAAAAAGGTTGGTGTCAAATTCATGTCTGGGGATAGCTTGTAATTGAAGTTACATAATCGTATACTTAAATGAAATGTTAAATAAAATAAATAAATCCTATTGTTACATTTGTTGGTTCACATTAACGCAACTAATTATATTTATCATGTAATACGTTTAGCTAATTGTGTCATTATAACTGGTTGAGATAAAAATGTATGGAGTGCTCGTTTTACCGTATTGTTAGGAAAACCAGAATCCTAAAGATTTAGCTGAGAATTATAAAGAATCTTTACATAAGAAATTTTTTTATATATTTTTCTCCACTTACATCGACTCCCATTTTGGTGTGTGTGTTTCTAAGCCCTCTATTTTATATACTATATTCATAAATAGTTGGACGTCGTATCTCCCAGGGAAAACCTCCACTGGGAACCGATTCTACAGCTAGCTTGTTCGCAAAAGAACTTAGTGAAGCGGACTATGGAAGATTTCCAACCAAGGAGCTAAAAATAGCACGTACTAAAGAAATCGGTTTGAAGAATAATTTGTTCCAAATTATATTGGAATGAAAATGTGTTGCTATTCATATTTCGTTAAAATTAAAATAATGTGGAACGAATCAAAATTATACACAACTCGTGACACAATACACGTGACACTGATAATACATTTGATAGGTTTCCAATTACTATATCTAAAATTTTAAATTCCAAAAATTTGAGTTTACCTTGTGCAAATTATCGTATCTTCAATTGTACTGATTAGTTTCAATATTCTACTGTGTTTATAAACAGAAGCATTTGACATAAGATATATTTAGTTCATTGTTTTGTGCTATACAACAAAGTTACATTGAAATTCTTAATAAATTATTTTGCCAGTTACAAAAATTTCTAGTGAAGACGATATAATTAAGTGATTAAAAAATTAACGGACTTCAAATACTTCTCAATTGAAAAGGAAATCCTTATTTAGGTAGTGTAATACATTTATTTATCTTGATTCGAAGTTTGTGGACAATACTGGAAACCTTGATAATAATATGTTTTTTTAGATCATGAAATATACTTTTTTTAAATGTTATATCAAACAAACTGCCTATTTGAAATAGGTTAAAAACTATTTTTGTGCAAATGCAAAAGTGACATTATTGGCGGTTTATCTCTAAATTTAATGACCTAAGGTGCTGATTTTTTATTTTTTGTTAATAGAAGCGGCTTGGCGCGGCATAGCGGGCGGCCGCGCCATGGGCAACAAGTGCTGCAGCCGCCGTCACGATCCCGACAGACCTTTGGGTAAGTTATAACAAAAAAATATTACTAGACAATCTAAAAATATGCTACCCGTGAAAAATGGAGCAAAATATTGACGGAATGGTACCTACCGTAAAGACGGAAAATGAAGAAACGGCCGACATCGCAAAAGATGGGAGGACGAACTCAAACTAACAGCAGGCTTCAATTGGAAGAGAGTCGCAAAAGATAGAGAGCAGTGGAAAGGGTTAGAGAACACACCGAATTCCGAGATATACTGTAGTGAAGGATCATAGATTTTCGGATTATAAAGCCCATATTATTATTATAATCCAAAAATTACAAACTTGTTCAATGTAACAGAACATTTAACCTAACTTTTAGATTAAGTTAGTGAAACAGGGACGTGAAAAAATTTGTTGATTCTGAGCAACTAACCTGTAGACAAAGGAAATGTATGTAAGAAATGTTATGCAATCAGTTTCCGTCTGTAAATCCTTATAAATAGAAAGGGAAACGAAAGAGATTGTATTTTGCACGACAAGGGATTGCTACTAACCGTTACTACTTATTCTAAGAGTTGTTTACCTGCGGGAGTTTAATCATAACATTGCAGACATTACACAAAACGAGCACCGCAAAGAGGATTACAGCCTGCCAAAACAGAGTAAACAAACCTAATCTCCCCCACAGCCACAGAGGGACTGTAATCGCCTTCTCGCAAAATATTAACATTGATGAACTATTAACGAAAGTGAATTTTTACTAGTCGACACTGAGAATGTGTATAATAATATTATTTACGCTATTATAACAATTGGTCGAGTAGATTAGGCTTAACTGATTTGACATGGTCTTGACTAAGTACAATAACAAAATCACATCGTATGACGTCAGACAACGCGTTAATGCACACCATGGGTGAGCTGCCGGCTTGCTAAGTGCCTTGCGCGTTTAATATAATACAAAAAACTTGGCGTAAGAGTGGCGGAGAGTTTACTGCCAGTTCTTCTCGTGCGTTCTACGCCCTTGATTAACTGGCAGTAAATTTTATTTTTATTTTTCAGTTCAGTTTTTTAGTTTAGTTTTTTTGTGTTCCTGTTGAGTTTTGTCTTAATAACTATATGTATTATGTATTTTTGCACTTCTTGCTTACCTTATCTAATTAAATAATTTTTTTTACAGTGGTTGCCTGGAAGAGATCGCTCGAAAGCGATAAGGCCGCCAGTTGCCCTCTTCTTCATTTAATTGTGTTCAATTTTTATTATGTTGTGCAACGAAGTGTTAATAAATAAATGTAAAATTAGAAGCATTTAATATGACGTTCATAAGTGTACATTGTGTTACCTAAATGAGTAAATGGTTTATTGAATTTTGAATAACGTCTTTACGATGCTCGTTTGCCCTGGCTTATACCGATGACTTCTGGCCTCTGGGTGATCAGTCGGAAAAGAATGGCAGTAGATACAGTATCCTTAGTACAATATATGACTGTACTCATTCGCAAATTGTTTGGCAGTTTGTGCGTACGCTTATGAGCACAGACGCGTAGACTGTTTATTTAATTTAGTTTTATTTGTTGTTACTATAATTATTTAACTAATGTATACAAAATATTGTTAACCTATTTTAAAAGTGTGGAGTTTCTTGCACATTCTTCTCCACATGAAGCTACCTTTTGGAAGGGGCAACTAGAATCATCTTTATATTTCATTTGACGTTTAAAAGTGCCTTTTTAGGTGGTCTAATTGAAATAAATGATTTGACTTGACTTGCCTTGACTAAAACTAGTCTTTGTATAAATTATTATTAATGCTCGATTCAAGATTTTTGATGAATTCTCCCATGTGTTAATTGTCTTACGTATCTTTCATCTATGACGGCATGTTGTACTCGACTCAATTTAAATTTGTCAGAAAACAATCAAGTCAGATCATATAAACCCACTGGCATTAGGTATGGACTCTTGGCCTATTTATAGACATCCTTCTAGCATAAAATACGTAAAAATAATAATAAAATCAATTACGGTGTTTCACGCAAATAATCATTTATTGTATAGTACATTTTTTCTAAAAGTATGTTATACTTGCTTGATTTTTGCATTTTATTCTAGAAGAAATCCATAAACGTAAATATTATGTGACGAATATTCAATCATTCTGGTTAAACACCGCGAATCAACGTCTTCAAACCAAGAACAATGCAAAGATGTTTTCGCACGATATTTCACCCACTTATTTACGTACGTTTTAGTGAGGTCACTATTGATGCAAACGAAGGCTTGCAAGGTTTAAACTTTAAGTGGGCTCGTGGAAATTTTAAAGCAATTTATAAATAAGCATGACCTCGAAATAGAACGCTTCGTTTGATTCGTCTCAAACGAACCTCTTAGACCTCCTCAAGAATTTCTACGTGTTTTATATTTCTATTCTGGATTTAGTGTTAATTTTATATTTTAAACTAGCTGCCCCCGCGAAATTCGTTTCTCCTTAATGTGATTTTACTTACCTTTTTAGTACATACCAATATGGAACATTTTGCTATGCTACCCCAGAGACTGTTCGGTTTTCCGGAATGAAAACTTTTTAGGCTTTTCTGTGATTTTTCTCTATCTAAACCTCAAAGTTCAAGTTATAAAATTTTAATCAACAAATAAAAAATGGGGGTTGATCGTAGAGGGGTAAATATTAAGGGTTGTATGTATTTTTGGATGCTGTATCTAAAAAATTAAAAACAAAATTTAGGGGTTGACTTCCCTTAACATTTAGGGGTTTGAAAGATTCTCAGACTTACTGAATATGCATAAAAAATTTCATAAGAATCGTTCGATCCGTTTCGGAGGAGTATGGGAACGAACATTGTGACACGAGAATTTTATATATTAGATTTTTAAATGTGGTGAGGCTCAAATGGATAAATACATTCATTTTGTTAAGTTTGAAGAATTACTTTTGTTAGATAGATGTTCCAAAAAGAAACTATAAATCGTTAAGATGTGGATATCCATATTGTATCAGCATACTGTCGCTTAATTTATCATTTACATTAGTGATAACAAGTTGAACAGGGGCCAAAGCCCTATTAAACTCCGGTCAAGTGTAAGTAGCGTTCGCAATATCGGCCCCATCTCACAAATAATCTTCTGAATACGAGTGTTCCAGTTTCTTGGCGCCGTTTCTGGTTCATTGCTGTCTTTGTTAGCGTTCAATGGTGAAGGGATTCTAGTTTAAAAGCAATCGCTTTAAGTGGCGTATCTGATTGAATTTCTGCAATGATTAAAATGGTGTTACTAACGTTTAGAACTTCTCGAACCTAACTAGATTATGTTTACACATTAACAAGGCAAAGAATAGTTAATAGAACACACAAATTAGAATAATGAAACAGCAAACGATACAATCCTAATACAAATATATAAACAGTAAACACACTATAAAGTGTTCTCGGAGGGATTTAACTTAGTGATCTATAGGACAAGCAGTGTTGGCCTAGTGGCTTCAGAGTGCGACTCCCTGAGGTCGTAGGATCGATCCCCGGCTGTGTACCAAGGGACTTTCTTTCTATGTGCGCATTTAACATTTGCTCGAACGGTGAAGGAAAACATCGTGAGGAAATCAGCTTGCCTTAGACCCAACTTATTAAATTTAAAAATGATCATGAAACAGATTTAGAAATCTGAGGCCCAGACCTAAGGAGGTTGTAGCGCCACTGATTTATTTTATCTATAGGACAAAGGCCGATAGACCGTTTCCGCGCCCCAAAAAAACTGACCTTATCGCTTTCCCGCGATCTCTTCCAGGCAACCACTGTGAGATTTTTTTTTTAAATTGTGTTAAAAATTAAATTAAAGAAGTGCAAATATTACATATAGTTATGAAGAAAAAAAAACTAAACTAAAGGATACATGAAAAATAAAAATTAAAAAGTGTATATGAATCATGATAATTTAATTTAAGATCAGTCTCACGTCATTTAGTACGAAAGTTAGGGATGCCATGTGGACAGGTAATGTTTGTACAGAAGAAATTTATAGGATTATAGTACTAAGTAGATAAAGAATAACTTTGTTTGCAAAAGAAAATACATATTTTTTATCTCTATAAAAAAATAAACAATTATAAGGAAGTAAGGAAAAGATTCCTATTGAGGCTCAGCGGGAACTAGAATCCCGTATGTCAAAATCCAATACGTTTTTGACATTTGAGTGACACTTCGACTAGATGCAGGTGTGAGATTTCATTCATATACACTTTCCTTAAACTGTTAACAGCATGCGAACAATTAGAAAACTTTCTGCACTTATTGCGTCAATAACTTGAAATCAGGAAGTGATGCAGCACTTTCTACATGATTTCAATATAAATTAATATGAACGTTTTGAACGTCACCTAGTCTTCTAATTTTTGAGTGAAAGTGCATTTTTTATCCACTTGAGTACGTAGACAGCGAATTTGTATACAAACTCCAAACATCGTTTGGGTTACTTTTAACAGCAGCTTTGTAAATTATAAAAATCTAATTGTAATCATTATAATAATAGCTAGTAATTATTCATTTTATAGAACTTGAGTAACGTGCGGAATTGTAAGGAAATCTATTTATAAGTGTCGGAAAATGACACTTCACCATTCTATGAAAAAGTTTTAAATGTATATAAATGAATTGCTGTTCGTTTGTCTCGTTAAAACTCGAGAATGACTGGACCGATTTAGCTAAATATGATCTTGGAATATTTATGGAAGTTCAGGGAAGGTTTTAACGATGGGAAACATAAATAATAAGTTAAGAAAATCACTAAAAACGACAATAGAGTCCAATAAAAACTGTTTCTAGCTTAAGAATGTTTGATATCGTTTGTCTTTTTAGAAGTAAAAAATTGTCACTTGTTTATATAGAAGCCTACAGAAATTTGTGTTTTATAGCTGTAGTAAGGTCCGATCTCTTTGGTTTTGTTTAAAAAATGTATTAAATTTTGACACTTATAAATGTAGGTTCACCTGGTCATTTATAGTTCTACGAAAGACTTGGCGGTATGGTCGAAATACTATAGCCTGCGCCATGGGCGCAAAGAAAAAAAAGTGGTAATCTTTACCCACACAATGCTACAGCGCACATAGTATAGTGTCGAATAAAACAATTTAAATTTAGAATAGAATATTGATCTCATATTGTCATGACTGCCTATAGTCTAAGGCTGAATTTAGTTTCACGCCGACCACACGCGCACCGTCGGCGCTGATGGTCGAGATATATGAACTTCTAGAAAGCGTTTTTGAATGACGCGTAGCTATAAGCGTATAAGCGCGCACGGTGGTCAGCGCTGATGGCTGCGCGGCCGTACGCGTCGCGCGTCGGCGCCGCGTAGCTGTCAGCGCTGACGATCGCTAGAGCGCCTCTGCTTTCAGAGAGCGTTGTAGTGTCGAACGGAGCGGACGTCGTCAGCGTGTACAGTCATGGCAAATCGCGAAGTAGATACAGGTCGAGTTATCAACGAGGTACGCCTGAGGAAGAAATTGTGGGATGCATCCGATCCACTCTACAAAAATATCTTGTTGACATTCGAAAGTAATTAAAGGATTTACTTTCGTCAGCCCTCAAAGTGCGATATAACCTGACAAAGTCTCCTGCGATGGCTCTCTGCTCAATCAATGGATGAAAAAGGAGTCTTCGTCGTCGCCGGTTTTTATTTTTTTGAGATAGGTAGTACAAAGCAGCAATAACTAATACACTCCACATTTTTGTCTTCGTCTGTACAGTAAGGCGGTCAGTACGATACTAAAACGAACCACGCTGAGCGTCAGCGCTGACGAACTACGCGCTGATCTATGAGCGCTGACGGTGAGCGTAAGACTAAATTCAGTCTAAAGTAGCTATCTGAATTTTCATTGAATTTTTTAAATGTATATGCAGCTTTATTAAATTTAATTCTGTTGTAGACATTTCACTTACGAACATGAATACGTTTCAGTATATCCAGCCTACAAAAAGAACGAGGCAGGATTCACGGCGTGTCCATCACTGGAGACACGTTATACCGGCGAGCCGAACAATCGAGCAGTATCAAGAAGACCTGCAGATATCGTCAGGACACGAAATCCAGGAGCATGTGAGTATAACTGTTTTACGAAGATCAGCTTTTTTTGTTACGGTGAAAGCGTTGAGAAATGGGCTTGTCTTGGAAAATGTCATTCGTCATTCGTTAATCTGGAACATCACGGTGATGGTTTTATACCTACTCTTCATTGAAGGTCTTCACTGGAAGTGGGATCAAGCAGACAAGCAAAGTCTGTTGATACCGGCAAACTTCTTTAGCATTAATCAAGGGAGCGGGGGAAAGTTTGAGCATCGTACAAATACACACACAAACGTCAACTGATTTACTAATCACGCGATCGACACGGCGCTCTTCCCCCCAAGTGATACCTTAAAGCTTCTGCGCAGGCAAGGACATTTGATCAAAATGTTTGCCGGTATCTGTAATAATAACTGTCCAGTGGTGCTAGGATCTTATATCGTGCACAGCCAGGGTTTTTGACGTTATAGATGTAAGGAATTTAGTTATGGCTGATAGATTAAAATTGTTAATAATTTTCGGTAATTAAACCGCGCCTGTAGAACCATCTTGATATTGTTATGCGAAAATTATTTACGCTAATGCAGTTAACCTATATTGAGGATTTATCTGCATTCTGCAATATATTTGAAACGCTAATAAACTCGCTTATTACCGGCCTATTTTACCTTCCTTTGATGTAAAATTAGTCAGACAAATATATAGCTCTCACAATAATTTATTTATAATTAACTAGCAGACCCGATATTAAACAAAGTATGAAAGTACTGCAGCGCCATCAGCCGGGCTGATTTGTGAATCTATACCATCCAGGGCTCCACCCAAACGCCTACAAAAAAATCATTCGAATCGGTCCAGCCGTTTAAGAGGAGTTCAGTGACATACACGCGTACAGTAGAATTATATATATATATATATATATATATATATATATATATATATGTAAGCTATCCTATCTTTTAAGTTAGATCAAACTGCACACGGTGTGCAAATTGAATTGAAATCTGTTAAGTTGTTTAGGAGTCCATAATTACTATTACTAATTAGTGACGCGTAATTTATATATATATGTATTAAGATTATTAAAACCCAGTCGCACCAAAACGACTCAGGTTTTCGTTTCTTTGATAAAAATTTTAAAGAAGTAAGACTATATAAAGACTTTTCGCCGCATTTTGGATATGTACATTGTACAAGCCTGTTTGCGTATCCAGAATTCAAACGATAGGTCCAAAGAATAGACCTCTTCGTTTTTCAATAACCACCCCATAATATTACACAGAGAACATTTTGGAATTCATAAGACTAATTCTTGCCGTAAAGCGTCAGTCAAACAAACACAGCAGCTCTTGATTTTGATAAGTACAGCGTAATGTATTCGTATGAATTTTTTTAAAATCAATGGCGCTACAACCTATTTAGGTCTGGGCCTCAGATTTCTGTATCTATTTCATGATCATTTGGTAATCCAATAGGCAAGTAGGTGATCAGCCTTCTGTGCCTGATGCACGCCGGGTCTAGGGTCTAATGGGAAGCCGGTTTCCTCACGATGTTTTTCTTCACCGTTCGAGCGAATGTTAAATGCGCACATAGAAAGAAAGTCCATTGGTGCACAGCCGGGGATAGAACCTACGACCTCAGGGATGAGAGTCGCACGCTCAAGCCACTAGGTACTAACACTGCTCGACCACCTACCAGCATAATGTATTCGTATGAAAAATGCTACGCGCAAAAGTTTCATATAATCTTTTTAGACAATCTTGTAAAAAAAATTAATACCATTGTTTTCAGGTATATCAAACGGTGGACGTCGAGTGGTAAAAGCGCTATGCGCCTACACCGCGCGCGCAGAATCCGACATCTCATTTCGGAAGGGCGATCGTATGGAAGTGCTGAGCGACGCGGAAACAGACTGGTGGAGGGTGCTCCATCTTACAACGAGACGGGAAGGGTTGGTGCCAGCTAACTTTGTGGCGGAAGAGAGCTCTGTTGAATGTGAAGAGTAAGTCTTACTGAAATATCTGTTTGGTATTACAACCTTTAGGTTGGATGAACAGTATACCACCTCCAGAATAAATAAATAATAAATAATTTATTTGCAAGAAAGTGGTACATTTACATCGATCAATTATTATAAAAATCTGCAAAATCAGCCACACAAAAATAGGCAATCCAAATGTCACAAAGTCAAAAATCATTTATTCATATATAGGTAACACAATGTACACTTATGAACGTCAAAAAAGAAATACACATTAAATGCTTCTAATGTTACATTTACTGCCAGTTCTCAAATCAAGGGCGTAGAACGAAAGAGGAGAACTGGCAATAAACTCTCCGCCACTCTTTTTAATCGCCAAGTTTTTTGTTTTCCACAACGTTTGTAAGGAGCTGCTCCTTGCGAGTTTCACCGCTGACTGACCGACCAGTTGGCCCCAGCAGCGAGATGTTATATATCCTAAGAAATGACTGCGTTTCAGGGTATGATGTCATCGCAGCTAAATATTACTGTTGAACTTCGAGACAAATATCCTTATTATCTCGAAGTCTGCATTATGACGCAAGACTGTTTTAATCGCGACTTTTGGACCAACCGGTTGAGGTATTTCAAAACGGATACGACTTTGGAACTAGAATGAAGCGTACCTCATTTATAACCCATCAAAAACACAGCTTTACAATGCAATATGTATTTTTTAAGGACTGACAACATGAGACAGAGATAGCATTGCAATGGTCATGCTGTTCCACCTGAATTATAAATACTGTAAGGTGTACGCATTTAGTCGCGTATAAGTGTTTTATTTTTAATAATTATGTAATAAGTCAAAACTACTATATACCCTTCGGTTAAGATTTGTTAATAAAAATAAAACAAGAATTGACATATACATCGAGGACTAATACTTATAAAGCATGATCCTTACATCCAAACGAACTTCTATTTATTTAAGAAGGAAACAATAAACACGTTACAAATACAGAGTCTATAAAATGTTAGTTATAATTCTTCAATTGCTGCATAGATCTCTTCTTGAAGCCTTGATGTATGTAGACAAAAATATAAACGATTTTAAAACAATTGAAAGTCATCAATATAATACTCGAAACAGAACTAATTTGAGTGTACGACCAACCAGGCTCCAGAAGATAAACAACTTCTTATATGGAAATTGAATTCGTTTTTACCACACCCATTCGAAATTAGAGAATTATCACTAAATAAATTCAAAGCACTCGCTTTTTATAAATTTGACGAATACTTAAATGATGCTAATCCTTGGGATTGATATGCTCCAGTGTAAACAATTTCTATGCCTCAAAACTTTGCGATTAAAAAGAGAGGCGGAGAGTTTCTTGCCAGGTCTTCTTGGCCGCTTTACGCACTTGACTTGCGAACTGGAAGTAAATGTTAATTAAGAAACAATTAAATGTATTTTCTATTGACGTTCATAAGTGTACTTGTTTACCTATATGAATAAAGTTATATTGAGTCTAAGAACAGCCTCTGTCATACAGCCCAACTCAGACTGTACTATGCTATTGTTGCAACATAATTTAATTACAATTAAGAGAGCAATTGAAGAACAAAACGAATATGATTTATTTAATGTCATTAAAATGGTTTTTTATATTTTCAGCTGGTTTTTCCCCCACGTGTCCAGAAAAGAGGCTGACAAGCTTCTCCTAGCTGAGATCAATCCTCGAGGTACGTTCCTAGTGAGGCCCGCGGAGCACAACCCTCATGGATTCAGCCTTAGCGTGAAAGACTGGGAAGAAGGCAGAGGATACCACGTGAAGCATTATAAGATCAAGCCATTGGACAATGGAGGGTTTTATATCGCGACCAATCAAACATTTCCGAGTCTTCCCGCCCTTGTTATGTCTTATACGAGTGAGTTATTTGTTTATTATATATATATATATATATATACTACTATAGGTGCTACAACCTTTAATGGGTCGTTCAAGTATTACGTAAGAAGATTTACTGCAATTTATCCCCCCCTCCCCTTCCTCTTGTCAGCAAAAGTAAGGTCTCTAAAATAATAGTACATTGAAGATCTCCTGAACTTTCTTCTATCTGTTCTTCTATCTGCCTCCTCCATCCATATCTCTCCAGAAACCTTAACAATAATTGTCAGCTCATCGCTTGGTCTTCCCACGTTTCTTTTTTCTGGACGTCCACTCCAGCGGTCCATCTTTTATCTGTACACCGTGAAATAGTAGTATGTAATAAGTAAATAAATGTCTGTTGTACATAGGTGATATCTATATAAAGAATTATATTTTTTTAACTACTTACTATATCGCTTAAACTAACAAAAAGCTAAATATAAATAATGATAACTAACGCATTTCAGAGAACGCGCTAGGCCTCTGCCATGTGCTGGCCCGGCCTTGCCCCAAACCGGAGCCCCAAATGTGGGATTTGGGACCGGAGTCGCGGGACAAATGGGAGATCCCAAGGGCCCAGATACAGCTGATCAAGAAGCTGGGGCAGGGGAACTTTGGCGAAGTCTACTACGGCAAGTGGTGCAATAGTATAGAGGTTAGTGTTATAAGTTTTTTTTTAAATTGTAATGCGTCAATAGATTTTCGGTTCAAAGATACTTTATTATCTTTAGTGAGAAAATTTAGGGTAGATTCGTTAACTATCATGATTATCATGTTATAAAATTATAAGAAAATAAGCTATATAAAATTAAATATTTGTTGCAACGTAAATATTACGATATTAAAAACTATGTAATACACTATATGTGTGCGTTATTTTGTATATGTATGTTCTTAATTATGTGTCCTTTTAAAAAAAATATAAATTTGTAAAAAGGTTTTATTTCTTCTATACTGAATGGTACCTTAAAAAAATAATAATTTAAGTACAGTTCTGAGATTGTATATAAAATTCTAACTATATAAAAGTTTATTTTTTTACTAAATAAAAAAGTTCCAATTTTTTTTTAATTTTCTTCATAATATTATCTTAGACCACTTTGTCTCTCCACGATTACTGAAAGACATACGAATGTTATCTTTAAACTAATCTTTCTCAAACCCCTTCAAACTTCTTCCAGGTCGCCGTCAAAACTCTACGAGAAGGTACAATGTCGAAGCAAGCGTTCCTCCAAGAAGCCGCCATCATGAAGAAGTTCCGTCACAAGCGATTGGTCGCACTATACGCTGTGTGCTCCCAACAGGAGCCCGTCTACATCGTCCAAGAGTACATGTGCAAGGGATCTCTACTAGAATTCCTCAGAAACGGCGAAGGCAAATCCCTCCACTTCGAAGATCTAGTCTACGTCGCCGCTCAGGTCGCCTCAGGGATGGAGTATCTCGAGTCCAAACTCCTCATACACCGGGACCTGGCGGCTCGCAACGTGCTCATTGGAGAGAACAACGTCGCCAAAATATGCGATTTCGGATTGGCCCGAGTGATAGAAGACAACGAATACTGCCCCAAACAGGGCTCGCGGTTCCCTGTCAAATGGACCGCACCCGAAGCGATCATCTACGGCCGGTTCTCGATAAAGAGCGACGTGTGGTCGTACGGAATACTCCTGATGGAGCTCTTCACGTACGGCCAGATACCGTACCCGGGGTTGCACGGAAAGGAAGTCATCGAGCAGGTGGAGAGGGGGTATAGGATGCCCAAACCCGTGGGGCACTATTTGCCCGACGACATTTATAGACTTATGCTCCAATGTTGGGACGCGATACCCGAGAAGAGGCCGACATTCGAGTTCTTGAACCATTATTTCGAATCGTTCACAGTGACCAGTGAAATACCGTACAGAGAAGTGCAGGACTAGTGCTGTGATATAAACGTAGCTAGTGATGTGCTTGTGTTGGAGACGATGTGTAGGGTCCTTAGCGAATGAATGGATTTGCTTTAGGGAAAGTGTTGGCTGCAAAATGTTTACGGATTTAAACGGGTGCAGCTTTGATACAAAAACAAAATACATTTTACGGGATTAAAACGCGTTTATTGCAATTGTTTATTTTGCTGTAACGACGGCTTATAATTCAAAATACATAATTGTGAATTAAACATGTTTTATTCCGGTAAGTTTTTTTAATCAAGGTCAAGTTCGTATATATATGTCAATTTACACGCCAACTAAAGTACTTTCGGTTTCTAAATACGCAACGTAATTCCAACGTATTGTTAGATTTGCTTTATCGCGTAGCTCTTATAAACAGATACGTTGTTCAAATAGTGTTTGATTCCAATCAATCTCGTTTTGAGCGCTGTCAAATGTGTTAAATTGACAGCTGCTGACATTTGATTTAATTTTGGTTCTAGAATACGGGCCTTAATTAGATTCTTTAAACAGAGTCGCTGACTGCAGAGTAGCACTCGAAACGTCCATTTATAATTTGTGGTTAAATTTAAAATAATATTTTGAATTTTACAAAAGGAGCGTTGAAGTATTACGTCACGAAATTTTTGAAGTTTATTGACCCCCCATGTAACGCGCCAAAACGTTTTTCTGTACCCAATATTAAACGTTTCGTGACCACCCAGTGACTCTTTATCCTAAAAGTTACTATTATGTGGTGTAAAGTACTGGACAGTCGAAAATAATATTAACAAAATAACGCGTAATTTTATCCCCGCCCCGCATCGTATCGTTTTACAAGAGGACCCCCCCTCTCAAAATTTGTTACGTAATACTTGAACCTTCCCAAATAATTCACTAAACATATTTGAATAATTTAACTAACAATTTTCGTTTGCAGCAACACTTAACCTATAACGACCATTTCTAGTATTTTTATACTGAAGTGAACGATACAGGAACGTGAGCTTCATTATTGGCTTTTCGTAGCGCACGCATCGAGTCCAAAAAATCGCCCGACTGTTTGCTATGACAAATATATTAGAAAATAATAAAAACTAAATCAGTCTTATTACATTTTATTGTCATCTTTGAAAAAAAAAATAGCGAAAGTTAATTTTTGTATGGAAAACTTGCGCTCGGAATATTACAAAAATTCAATTAGTATCAAAAGTCCTAACTCTTACCTATTAAAGGCCTCAGAGATTTATATAAAGAATATGGTAGTGAACAATATGGTATGGGAAATATTTTCAGCTGTCATAACTGAACTTGTATTGGCGTATACGAATGCGTACGTGAGATTTTTTACTTAGACTGATTTAGTGCATATAAAAAGATTGAATCGCAATATTAAACGATAAAACTATACACACATTTAAATAAAACTTCTTTATAGAGCCTAATAGCGAATTTATTGCTTTATTTACATACTTGACGTTTCGAGTGTTCTTAAGCAATCGGAAGACTGTTCACCAGTTGACAGATTACTTTGATACTGTCTATAATGTTGCCATTTATCTCTGAGAATTTTTTTATATTAAAGAAGTTTTATATAAATAATACAATAACATATTGTCATATGTAAAAAGCGGTAGGTACAAATCAATTACCCCGAGTTTTTTCTTTGTTAAATAGATTTTTTTAGTTTATCTCCTAAAATGTGTAAATAATTGTAGCAAACAGAATGGGGCTTATATTTGTGCGAAACACTATTTTCTTATTTATTAGTATAGCTTAAGCACGTAGTTATTTTGCATCGTAAGCAATAAAAATAAAAAAAGCGTTGAATTTCACGGTTGAGAAATGTAGTGAAGTTAATCCTATTGATGTCAAACACTGACATCAATAGGCTGGTATGATTTGATAATATCTATCTAGCTCATATTTAAAATGTTAAAATAATTAAAAAAAAATATTGTTACACTTGAGTGATTAACCCATGCGGCTTGTAGTTAAAAATCTCGTAAACATGATAACATACAAAAAATTACCATAAACCTCATGTCAATATTTTTAAACGAAACTATAATAATTATAATGAATAAGTAAAGTTATTCATGTGTGCAGCTTCTCAACCATGAACTTTAATTATTGAAATCTAGATATTTTCATATTCTAAAGTATGTGATATTTTTATTGCATTGTAAATGATCTGATAGGCTTCGGTGCGGTTAAGGAAACTGTTATTTATCTTGTATTTGAAATTGTATGCCTCTATGTTCTAAAATAGTTTGCGAATTGATCATTTACTAAGTCCAAGAGAATATTTTTAATTTGACTCAAAGTACCGCCAATAATGAATGTTTTGGCTCCTCGAAATAGAACTGAGCCTATACTGTGACCTTTAGCAAGATTATATTCATGAACCTATACATACGTTTGGTTTCAATAAACGAGGTTCGCAGGTTTTTGTATAAAAAGTGTAAGTGTGCTTTTTAGAAAAATCAACTCGGACAGAATTCAATCAGTCTTACCACAGGCTACTCATCTGTCTGTCACAGAAAGCTGTCAAATTGCGTTTATGCGATATAAAAAAACAAAAGAATGTAGACACATTTGTTTTTATGAATAATTATTTATTTCTTTGTATTTAATAAAGCATTTTAAATGTCTTGCTACGGTCATGGTAATAATGGTCCAATTTTTATGAAACGGTGAATTAGATAGCTTTAGGGCCGTATACCAAAGAGTTATTGTACATTAGTGCGAGTGAATCGTTTTTAATTTAGTATAACTAGACTTTGTGACCTGTACTTTATTTGACCAATAACCCTCTTGTGTAACTAAATTGTATAAAAATTAAAAATACAAAAAAATATTGTTAAAATTCTGACTGATCAATACCCGATTGCGTTAAAAGTATTGAAAATGCTTTATCACGTATCTTGTTCTAGAATTTATGATTGAGAAATAGTGTCTTAACATTCCAAATAATCGAAACACTTTAAATTTGGACACTTTTGTATGAAAATTACATTTATAAGATTTTGTACATACAATGAATAAATGTCATTGATTATAAAATATATTTTATTTATTACCAACATTTTACACTTAAATAATATCACTTTACAAAACAATAGATCTCTTGTCAACACAAATTACACATTAATTGACATCAAAATATATGTTTTAAAATAAAATTATAGTACTTAATACAGTTTTGACATAAATCGATATTTTAACACTGGACTAAAAAAATTACAATCAATTGTCTAATTTTATTTAAAATACACTAAGTAACTTGGAAATATAGTATTTTGAATACTTAATAGGGCAATACTTGTACTTTTCTTAAATTTTAGTTTTGTGCCATATGCTATATTAAGCAAAAAATAATGACTAAACAAATAATAAACATAATACAATATTAATAATACATTTCTGTGTTGGAACCTTGAGCACCTTGGTGGTGGTGGTGGTAAGTGGGATATACTGGCCTGGCAGTTTATTATGGAAATTATTACAGGATATACAAATACTTGATGAAGAAAACCGTTTATATCAAAATGATAATTTTTAACATACCAAACACATAATTTAAAGCTAAAACAAAGGTTCTAACGATATTCGTGATTTTTATAGTTCATATAATGGAGCGCCACTCAAGATAACCATACAAAAATCTAGTTACTTTTCTATACGTTCTTTATTTTTTATTATGATTTTACGGATTCGTGAAGGACTTCTAGGAGGAAACAATTTGAATGCTTCGCTTCTAAAAAAAATTAAAAGTGCAATGTCATCTTAGCGGTTAAGTAAACTTAGTGCTAAAAGTAGTTTTAGTTAAAAAACTATACTTATTGTATATGTAAATTCAACTATTATATTTTCACTAGTAAATTGAGCTACACAGTATCTGTATACATTTTACTCTTAAGTTTAAGATATCTATACTCAGATTGGTAAAATGTTTGAATATACTGCCATATTTTGGTAATAGGTTTAGGAACATATTTTGGATTTTTCTTACTATAATGATTTAAATATATTGCTAATACCACCAGCACTCCGGACCAGATGTACCTGCAAAAAAGCATTTACTTGCATCATAACATTTAAGAGATAATACATTTTATATGATTGTAACTGTTTTATCACAAGTGTTTAAGAAAATTGGAAAGAAATTAATTCAAAACCTATCTCAGTTAAGTTAATAAATTAAGAAATGTCTGTTAAACCTTCTGTTGATTTTGCTAACTGTTATTTAAAGTGCAATTGGTAATATAGAACCATAAATTGAGAGTAATTTTATCATAAACTTAATTTTCTGTGTATGCACTGATACCTAATTGAAAATGAGAAGAGCTTGTTGACATAAATATATCTTCCTAAGGGAACAGTTATTTTTTTATGGGAAAATAGGTGATATTGCAAGGTTGACAGCATGTGGCACAAGAAAGCTGATCACCTACTTGTATATTAGAAAAAAGTGAATAATCTCAAACATATACAGAAATCTGAGTTCCAGACCTAAAAGGTTGGGCACCAACAACACACAATTTTTTGACCAATTTTCTTTACAAATGTTAGTTAAAATCTATTAAGGCACATCCAATATGTAAAGGTAACACTTACTGAAATACAAAAGGCTTGCTAAACAGAAGGAAAGATATAACAATAGAGAGTGCTTTCCGCATAGTAGTAACTGTCACAGCCACAGTTGCACCAGATATCCTGACTAGCGTCAATACAGCCTGAAGGCCCATATACCCACAAATGCTAAGTAAAAATATGTTGGAGTACATTGTTATTGGATCCTGAAATTTAAATATAATTGAATCAGTATCACTATTTAAAAAATAACAATGGAATTCAAAATGTCACAAACATAAAATGTGTTTAAATCTAAAGTATTTTTATTGAATGTTATTCTGACAAGAAGTGAAAAATATGGGATTAAAACCCAAAAATTATTATAGAAAAAACATTTTAGAATTATACTTCTCTGTTACTAAGTAAATAATATTTAATAATGCATATTTATGTGACTAATAACTTTCTTGTAACTTTAAAAACTTACCTTCGAACAATAAATAAATCCATCTTTTAGTATACCACTAACCCCAGTGATAACCAATAAATATATACTTGCTATAGCATAGGAATAGAAAACAACTTCATTATTTGTAGCTTGAAATTGTTTCATTGCCTTCTCTTGAACATTACCTATTATAGCATCACATAGTAATGCCAGAGATATAACTATTACTCCTATAAAGTTAAAGTTTGGTGACGTTTTTGAATCAGCTGGAATATTAAAGAGTAAATTAATATTTACTTGTAAGAAAGGTACAGTTTTAATGATTTTTAAATTAAGGAACAGCTTTAAATATTTTTAGAAATCTCCAGCAGCTCTCAAGCAGTTGGTTCAATCCATCTAACTCAAAGACTCTAGGTTTTGAATACATAAAACACAAACAAGCTCCATATATGCCTAAAGAAGTTTATTAATGCACAGTTAAGCTATTGACACATGAACTAAGATCCTCAAAGATAGTAGAGTCAAAAAGTGCAATGGCAAGTTTAGTAATTATTACAGGATGGAGGATAGACTGCTACTTACAGCTCAGCCAAATTGTTCAGAATAAAAGAGGTCATTAGAATTGTCAGAGTTTTACATATTAAATAATAAGAATAGTTTAAATCTTACCTAATGTAAACATAGTTAATCCAATACACATAATAATAGCAGCTACATAATCTAAAAATCCATATCTCTTTCCCAATATAATTATACTGCCAATCATCACAGGTATAAGTTTACAACTCTTGAATATTAATTGTGTTGGGTAGTTAAGGTAACTGAGAGCCAAATTTGATAATGACATAGTTCCTAGCGTCAATGCTGCTAATATAGCATATGTTCTCAATGGAACTCTAAAAATATATAAATACTTAAAATTGAGTAGATATCGACATTTCACTTGTAACATCTGATATATAAAATTCTCGTATTGTATAAATTTTAGTCATGCAAAAATAATATTTATAGTTACATGCTATTTGAAGGCCAAGAAAATTGGTGTAATGTGTATTGTAAGACTATTGAACAACTTACTTCCTTTTAATAGGACTTCTAATAGTAGACTCAACCTTACTTAAAGCCATTGTGATCAAAAACTGAATGAAAGTTATATATAAACTGACTGGAGCGACTTCTGGTTCAGCGAATATCAACTCCAGGAAATATCCATATGCCAAATAAAATATAAACACAAAAGAACAACATAATGTGAATTGTAATCCAAAATTATATTTTGTTATGTCTAAACACAGAATGTTTACTACACCCTGGCTTTCTCTGTTATCTCCATTTCTAGGATTATCAATTCTTATAACAGTTTCCTTATTCATGTTGATGTAAGATTCTACTTATTTAATAAATTAAAAACTTGAATAATATATACAATACATTAAAAACTGTTTTAAATACATTATTACACGACACTGGTTTATTAGTATATTTTGGCTATTAATTTATTTAATATTTAATTTTTAATATTGTTATAAAAATAAAGAAAACGTAGTCTTGTCATTTGTCAATGTAATAAACTCAGTCTTCACTCTTCAGTCTTCACTATTTAGTATTTACTATTCGCTATGCATATTGCATACTATTCAATATTCATAGACTATTGGAATATATACAGAAAACTGCAAGAGAAGAATTCTAATCTAATTCGAATCTATTCATTAATGTAGTTTAAACTATAATATATACAATGTACAACTATAGCAGTCGCAATAAACAAGCCACAGAAACAGCCCGTAGCCGGTACTGCACCTAATACCTATAATATAAGTGATGGATTGATTCGTCTAGTTCCGAGCCTCACTAACATAGATCAAGGAAGTCTGAAAATCGTAATCGTTACAATAAACTCTTAATTATGAATTAAGTTTTTATAAAAAAGGTTCAAGCGAAACTTCGCGTTTTGACTACCAAGTGATGTGTGCTGTGTTGATATCTGTATTCTGTAATACTAAATAATAATCTGTGATCCGTCCAAATTCCGATGTCGAATGTCCGATGTCGATCTGCAATAAATTGTAAAAACAAATAGGTTCACCGTACCGTACAGTAGCAATTTCATACAATTATATTGCTACGTGCTGTTTATTCTAAGCTAAGGTGTGTAATATAGTGCTACGTTTCAAATTGATAGAGTTTTACACTCCGACAATTGATAAATAAGTATTCTTACATGATTTTGTAGGTCGTGCAAACGGTGAACCTGACAAACTGGATTACGAACAATGATGGATTCGGACTTGTCCGGTGCGGACTTTTGCCGTTTCTGTAGATCAGAGGCTTCTTCCGACCGGCCTCTGTTCCACCCGTGCATTTGTACAGGATCTATAAAATGGATCCACCAAGAATGTCTAGTACAATGGATGCGATACTCACGGAAGGAGATTTGCGAGCTTTGCGGCCACCGCTTTTCATTCATGCCGATATATTCTCCAGATATGCCTCGAAGGCTTCCAATTCGTGACGTTGTAGGTGGTTTGGTGACCTCAGTGGCCTCTGCTGTAAAGGATTGGCTGCACTACACGCTCGTCGCTCTCGCCTGGCTTGGGATCGTCCCTCTGACTGCATGTAGGACTTACCGCTGTTTATTCTCTGGATCATTGGACCCGGTTATATCTCTACCGTTTGATATTGTATCTGCTGAAAATTTAGCAAAAGATGTTTTCTCTGGTTGCTTTGTGGTGACATGCACTCTTTTCGCTTTCATTGGCCTGGTATGGTTGAGAGACCAGATTATGCACGGTGGTGGCCCTGAATGGATGGAAAGAGAAAATTTACCAGCTCCACCTGCTGAAGAACCACTACAGGATAATAATAATGAGAATGTCAATGAGGTTGTTAGAGAAGAGGGTGTTGGTGTGAGGGAAGAGGTAAATGATGAGGTAGCTGAAGATATGCTGGTTGGGGAGGAGGCTAATTGGAATCCTATGGAATGGGACCGTGTAGCTGCAGAAGAATTGACATGGGCAAGATTGTTGGGACTAGATGGTTCTATGGTATTTTTAGAACATGTGTTTTGGGTTGTGTCTCTGAATACATTTTTCATTGTTGGATTTGCTTTTTGCCCCTACCAGATAGGGCAAGTAGGAGCTTCCATAGCTGGTTTTACGGCTGAGGGGCCATTTGCTGGCCCATTGAAAGCATTATCAGGATATGTGATAGTTGCTGCAATTCTAGCCATTCTACATGCAATGGCCTCTTTATTGAGGCTAAGAAGTGCTAAAAAGGCCCTTGGATTCTGCTATGTAGTTGTGAAAGTTGCACTTTTGTCTGTTGTTGAAGTAAGTATACTTTATTAACTGTAATTAGAAATTCAAGAAGTAATTGTGATTATATTTAGCAACTCAAGTGGCTTTTAGTGAATATATACTTAATATGAATTTATATTTTCCAGATTGGTGTTATTCCATTAGTCTGTGGATGGTGGTTAGATCTCTGTTCATTATCTATGTTTGATGCTACACTCAGAGACAGAGAGGCAAGCTTACATGCCGCACCATGGACACTCTTGTTTATTCACTGGCTTGTTGGAATGGTCTATGTTTACTATTTTGCATCATTCATTTTACTATTGAGAGAAGTCCTAAGACCAGGGGTTCTTTGGTTTTTAAAAAATCTTAATGATCCCGATTTCAGTCCTGTTCAGGTAAGTTATGCTAATTTTATATGAAGGCTTTTTAGTCACATATATCAAAAAAAAAATCATTTGAAAATGTGAACATTAACCTTAGCTGAAGCTATTCAGTAGTATTGTACAAAATTAAGTCAACATAATATTAGCCATAATAATTGTATAGGCTAGATTGTAATTCATGTAAAGTTGCACTCTCTTTTGTGAACTTTATTGTAGGAAAAAAGTGCATGCGTACTTTGTGTACACATGTCAGAAGTGAAACTTCTTTGGCAAACAAATTTTTGACTCTTGTTCATATATATACAAATCTAAAACTTTAGGTTTCTGAGACTTAGAGGGAGGGAAAAAGGAAGATATCTTAGGAACTTAATGTATTTAATTGTCATTAAAATATTAAATGTCGAAAATTAATACAAATAATAAATTTAATTAATTTCTTCGATAATAAAAACACGTGGCATTTTAATTTACAATTCGTCATTTGAGATTTCAATAAATTATTTTGCATAAAATATAAAATACTAATATTTCTTAAATTCTCTTTACGAAATTTTAATTTTAAAAATAGAATTTCTATAAAGTAATTCACACTTCTCACTCTCTCTCAATCGCTCTCTCACTTTCGACAAAAACGCTGCACATCTTCGTGACGTTCCGTAAAAATTTTACCCTCATAAAGAAGTTTCACTTCAAAAAATTTAAAACAAAGATAATCAACCAGACATAGAAATATACATAAAAATATACATTTAGACTTTTTATAAATAACCCGATTTGATAATAAATTGTTTACATTGAATGTTGAAAAGAAATTTTAGTTGATTACGAAACAAACATTGAATGGTTTATTACGTTCTAAAAATAATTTCTTTTATTAAACAACTCTTTCAAGTGTAATACTTGTCAAATAAAATATGTATATCAATATATTCTTTTTAGGAAATGATCCATCTACCGGTATGGTCCCATATTCGACGGCTGATTGTATCAGCGATGGTGTTTGGCACAGCTGTTCTCTTCATGCTGTGGTTGCCCATTCGAGTGATTAAATATACTCTACCCGGCTTCTTGCCATATGCGGTTGCCGTGCACACAGAAGCTCCAGTTAATGAACTAAGTTTGGAGCTACTTCTGTTGCAGGTAATATTTTTATCTTTAGGCCGCATTTTAAGCTCCGTATTTTAGAATGTCACTTAATTTTTTTTAACACTGACAGTTGACAGTTTTCAATGGAGATTGTGACTTGAGATACTTATTGGAATACGGGACTTAGATCGCCCTCTGAGTATATTTAGACCTAATAATTGTAATAATATGCATTAGAGAAGTTATATTTTACTAATTTATTTATTCAGAGTTTTGTGTACACTATGGCTAATTGTGTTAGTATATTAACTCACAATTGTAATTAAATAAAAGTAGTAATTATATTTATCATACATTATCAGAATTATTTTTGATAAGTATTATAAAATTTCTAAAAACAAGTTTTTTACCTAAACTACTACAACAATTAATTTTAAATATACTATTACCATACACTTTAATATAATTGAGAATATTCCTAGAAGCAGCAATTAAATCATCAGCTTAAGGGCGGTTTCCGACTAGCGTTTATAATTTTCAACCTTTTCGAAACTAAAAAAAAATATTGATTGATTCCCCAGGTGATCCTCCCAGCCTTATTAGAGCAGTCCCATACGCGTACATGGCTCAAAGCTGGTCTTCGTGCGTGGTGCGCATGCGCAGCTGGTATTCTAGGTCTTCGCTCGTATCTACTGGGACAGGCGAGCAGGCAGGCAGATCAAAACCCGCCTCCACATCCGCCACATCAGCTGGGAGCTGCTCATCAGGTATTTTTGCCCTTACATATAGAATCACAAAAATTCTAATGGGGTTCTAACACATTGTTAAGTGAGTGGTCTGTAATAAATTAATGTTATAGGTAAGATGGGGACATTTTTTTCTGTAATTGGAGACAAACGGGCAGGAAGCTCACCTGATGTTCAATGATACCGCCGCCCGGACCTTCACATTGCCAGAAGGCTCGCAAGTGCGTTGCCGCCCTTTTAAGACTTGGTACCCTCTTATCTTGAAGGACCCTAAGTCGAATTGGTTCGGAAATACTTCAGTGGGCTGGTATTTAATATATAATTGCAGAATCTAGGAATCAGTATATATTCAATAAGTCGTTAAATTAAAAACAAAAACGCGAAGTTCAAGAAACAACCAACACCTCCCCCCCCCCCACCCGTAACGCCCATGTGACGTAATACTTGAACACTTTATATTTTTACATACTTGAAAGAGATAAATAACTATGATAAAAAATAATTATTCCAGGCACTAATGTGGCGAGAAGGACCAGCCGGCTTCGAGCCGTACGTTCGAGTTTCATGGTTTCCCCTGCGTTTGGCGGCTTTGCTTGCTCTCATCTCCATCTCACTTGTTATGGCCAGTGCCCTCACTTTGGTAAGTACAATTCGTTTTAAATTAATATCTAGTTAAATGAGATATTGTGATTATGTGAGATATATATGAGATTTTTATTGGTGAAATGACATGACATGGTAAGGATATCAGAGGTTCGATTCCGTTGAAACAATTATATTAATTATTATTCGGTTTGAACAAGTCTGATCAACTTTTATTACACTACAAAATTATGACAAATAATAGATTCTATTTTACCGTATTTTACCACCTCTGTGCTAAAGTAGTTATAGTTAGGATTTGGATCTTTGGACGGATAATGTTTTAATAACTGACCAGACGCAGTCAGTATCCGTCCTATGTAAAATTCTACCTTTTAAGACAAATTTGCTCGCCATTATGTGTGGCAATATGTCAATAAATTATTATTATTTTAGTAGATTTAACAATAGCGTGATTATTAAAATCATAAATAACAAAATATATCAGTGGCGCTACAACCTTTTTAGATCTGGGACTCGGATTTCTGTATCTGAATGATAATCTAAATGATCATTTGTCAGTCTAATAGGCACGCCGGTTTCCTCACGATGTTTTCCTTCACAGTTCGAGCGAATGTTAAATGCGCACATATAAAGAAAGTCCATTGGTGCACAGCCGGGGATCGAACCTACGACCTCAGGAATGAGTGTCGCACGCTGAAGCCACTAGGCCAACACTGCTCAATTGTTTTTATATTGTTGTATTCGTTTAATACATTAGGTTATACCAGTGGCTATCGGAAGAAAGGTGATGACAATATGGCTGCCCAAGGCATCTGAAGGTGTACATGAACTGTATACAGCAGCTTGTGGTTTGTATATTATTTATTTACTAACTACTAATACTAACCGGATGTACGGAATACGGGAATTTGAAAAGCTATTTAAAAAAATCTTTAATTATAAGAATATATCGACCAGCACTTGCAAGTGTTCTGGCAATGTGAGTGACGATGGACGGCAGAATCGCTCAACGTAAGGTGAGCCTCCTGTTCCCCCGTTTGCCCCCTGTTCTATAAAAATCTATTTAATTCACGATCTCTCCTTTTGCTTACCCAGCATATTAGAAAGACAAAGGATAGATATGTTCCAAATATTCCCACACAGCGCTTATGTTTTCCATACAAACACTTGTTATTCTAATACGTGCTAACATATACCGTACATACGTTCGAGCTACCTCTTGTGTAGCTAGTGTACATCTACAGCATTACATTATTTTAAACTATTATTCAGGTATGTATGTGTGTTGGGCCGCGGGTCGAGGGGGGGCGTTGGCAGCAGGATGGGCAAGGGGAGGGCGAGCAGCGCTCGTGAATAGGACAGCAGTGTGGGCGAGTCGAGCAGCTCGCGCCGCTTTGGCTGCACTCGCCCTGCTCGGCCTTGTGCCGCTTATGTTTGGGCTGCTGCTCGAACTGGTACGTTCTTATTTCTTTAAGTTTTGCTTGAATCGTAAATTGAATTTTTTTACGAATACATTATATTAACTTATATGAAAACTAAATGTCTATTCTTATCCGGGGCAGGCCGCTAATTAAACTATAAGAGAGATTTTTAAACTTAAAATTTTGGTTTAGGAAACAAACAAAATTTTTGAAGTGAAACTTCTTTATCGGTGTGGGAAAAAAATTACCGTCACATTTTTCGGTTACGCGTCACATTTTACCGTTATGCGCCATCTTTTTCTTGTCCTGCGATTTCGGAGCCTGGTAATTGATTAGTTGCAAAATTTGTTGTTTGTGAAGTTTGTCTACCTCTGAAAACTTACTTCAGGCTTACCGCAACGTACTGTTATTTATATTGTATAATTTCACGTTATATTTAATAATCTCATATATTGGTATTATATAATAACGATAACATTGATAGTAATAATTCTATTACAATTAATGAATAAATATTGGAGCCTAAAATAAATATTTAAGAGTAACTTACCAATAACTCTCAAAGCTAAAGTTATGAACTCATGTCTACTACCCAGCTTAACTTATGGAAGCCAGACCTGGAAATTCTCTACACAAGCTGTGAATAAAATCAATGTATGTCAAAGAGGTTTAGAGCGAAGCATGTTGAACATAAAGAGAAAGGACAAAATAAGACACACAAAGATAAGAGCCGTCACTAAAGTTACAAACGCTTTAACTTTTGCCCGAAAACTGAAATGGCATTGGGCTGGCCATGTAGCAAGAATGTCTAGCAGAAAGTGGACCAAACGAGTTACCCAATGGAAAGGACCACCAAGCAAGAGGCGGAAGGGGAGACCTTAGACCGCTGGGAAGATGATCTGAAAAGATCAGCTGGCAAAAACTGGCACTCCATAGCACAGGACCGACAACAATGGGCATCTTTGGAGGAGGCCTTTACCCAAACCGGGGTTCCTGTTAAATAAATAATATAAATATATATTACTAACATAATTTAAGCTAACCTACTAACAAAATCAATATTTTTGGTTACTTTAATATAACAACTACCAACTATTGTAAAACAGGAAATAAAAAGGCTTATTATTATTATTATTAATGAAATTCTGTAATAATCTTAGTAATAATAAGGTATAATGAAATAATTTGCACATAGTAGATAATTTTTCGAAAAATAAGATCATAAAGAAGTTTCATACACGCACATTTTTTTTTTCTCATTCATTTAATTACCTAAATAATTTTCCAGCAATAAAGCAAGTATTCCATTAAAATATTTGTGAGCTTCAAACTTTTCTTATAGATATATGAAATAAATACTTTTTTATTGTATTTCTCAGGTGTTGGTAATCCCCCTTCGGGTACCCCTAGAACAGTCGCCTGTGCTCTTCGTATGGCAGGATTGGGCCCTAGGAGTGCTATATACCAAGATCGTGTGTGCCCTCACAATGATGGGGCCAGACTGGAGTATGCGAAGGGCCATCGAAAAGGCGTATAGGGACGGAATACGGGAAATGGATCTTAAGTAAGTTATGGTATATGGCGTTCTTGGCGAATAAAATTATGAGTAAATTTTTAGGTTTTCTCTAAATATATAAATAACAACATTTATCACTTATTATATATGTATTACTTTATTGACGTGACGTCTAATAAATCGATGAACGCCGGCTGCACGCACGAAAAAGCATGACTCATTGGCCCCTTTCGCTCAATGTACGCTTGCGCCGCATCTATCTCTCTTCCACTCGAAGAATTAAGTATGCAATCATTTCATCAATGTTTTGTTATGGCGTTGTCACGTTAAGCTATCGTCCGTGAACCGACTTTACAGACAACCATTTTTTTTTAAGTTGTATTTTGTTTCTGTCAAAGTGTTGTTGCGTTGCGTTGAAAAGAAATGGTATTTTAGTTAAAATGATGCAATTTGATTTATTTTTATGAATAACCGCGGAGCTGTAATATTTTATAAATTTCCTAGGATTTGTATGTAATTCAAGTAAATTGTAGGTAACACAACGTACACTTATGAAAGATAAATACATATTAAATGTTAGAAATACATATTTAATTTTACATTTACTGCCAGTTCTTAAATCAAGAGCGTAGAACGGAAGAGCCTCCACTCTTTTTGAACTCCGCCACTCCTTTTAATCGCCAAGTTTTTTGTTTTACACAACGTTTGTAAGGAGCTGCAACCATTACACCTTCATTCTAAGTAATTAATAATAATAAAATTAATTAAAACCAAAGATTTGTCCTCTATCAGCAGGAGGCATGATGAAATAGGAGCACGAACTTACATTCATCACACACATCGTGGGAACAACAAGCATCCAAACACGTAGAGAAATAATATCGTTATATAAACTATACAAAACTAAAGAACAATTGATTTCAAACTGTGAGAGGAGCAACTATGGATATCCAGACCTAATTCGTTAGCTATATTAGTGTTTTAATTTTATATTTTTTATTATAATACGGGCCTAAAAGACAGTATTGTTGATATAGGTTCATCCTTCGCTCAGTGGCGGCTCCATTAGTGCGATGGCTGGGTCTCGCTCTGGCGATTCCGTACGCGTTCGCTCACAGCGTCGCCCCGCTCGTTGTGACGTCAACCGTGCAACGGAACTTGCTCGCTCGCCGAGTATACCCGGCTCTTCTCATCATCTCTGTATTGGCTGGACTTGCAATCTTCCATGTAAGAATTAAATTTACAATATTTGTTTAAAAAATAATGTGTAAGAATATGCCTCAACGCCGATATGAAATGAATACATACAAATGTTATATGAACTACACAATTATTATTTGTATCGTAATATAAGAGAGAGAAAGAGGTAATATTAGGTAGAGGCATATATTAAAACTATAAGATTTTTTTATTGTCACACTATATTTTTTAATATATTGCACAAATTTTGCATCACCAAAATGTTAACAGGTTAGACGTAAATTATATTTTCGAAAAGGATTTCTTATGGCATATTCCATAGATTATAAAAATCAATTACAGTCGCCATACCTTAAGGTGACCTTGTGTACCTTATCTAAATTAAAATAATCTAATTTGTATGCCAAAACTTTTATAAAAAATAAATCAGTGGCGCTACAACCTTTTTAGGTCTGGACTTCAGATTTCTGTATCTATTTCGTGATCATTTGTTAATCTAATAGGGAAGTAGGTGATCAGCCTCCTGTGCCTGACGCACGCCGTCGACTTTTTATGTGTAAGGTATACCGGTTTCCTCACGATGTTTTCCATCACCGTTCGAGCGAATGTTAAATGCGCACATAGGTGCAATGCCGGGATCGAACCTACGACCTCAGGGATGGTCGCACGCAGAAGCCAACACTGCTCTCAAAACTTTTATTAAGGTTATATATTTTTTTCAGATCCGACAATTCCGCAAGTTATACGAGCATATAAAGAATGACAAGTACCTCGTGGGACAACGCCTGGTCAACTACGACCACAGACGACACAAACATGTCGCTTCAAACTGAACGCGTCTTCTCTTTGATTTGTTCATATTTTTAATAATTAAAAATAAAATACTGCTTTTTTTATTAATACGTGTACGATTTACATTAAAATATTATATAAACCTCTTGCGTCATTGATATGAAAAATTCGTTTATAAATAATATTTTCGTATATTAATGTAATTTTAATATAGATTTTTTCACTTGTCTCTATCTATCCTAATAAATGTTAATCTGTAAATGACGAATCCAAAGCAGCCCATTGTAAATGTCAGTTTGTCAATTTTGTCAAAAAAGGAACGCATTTTATGAAAGCAGTATTTTATTGGAATAATGTTAATACATTTTACTTCCATCTTTTTTATTAAGCATCTTAAGAAACAGTTATACGTAGTGTTTTGTTTAGCCATTTTTATAAAATTGCTCAGTCTTAGTGCTAGGTTTTATATCGGAGATTGTCAAACCAGAGTGGATATGTATGGGGACTTCCTTAACAACGCAACTGTATATTGCTTTTAATTTAAGGCTTATGTCATTAAAATACTCTATTTTAATAGCATTGTTGTGTTAGTGACATCGGGCTTTATGTAATTAGACCTAGAAATTGTAAATATTTGAAAAATTGTTAAGAAAATGAACAAATCTATGAGCATGAACTAGTTTTAATTTATTTTACACGTGGACTTCGAGCCATACGTTGCAAAAGAGCAACGTTGTTATGGCAACCATTGCGTTACCATGGTAACCGTTACGATAAGCGTTGCCACGGTAACCGATTGTAAAATGGAAGTAGATACTAGTGGATCACGCTCAGGCACTGTCTCATTTGCACTTGTGATATTTTTAATTTTTAAGACAAGGACATACTGATTTTGAATTGTAGAAATGAAGGTTACTGATATAAATATTATTTATGTGGAATGTAATTAAAGTAAATGGCGCGAAATTTTCTTTTTATTTATACCTACCTATCATAAATTAGAAAAGATTAAACGTGTTAAATTCCAAATTTATAAATTCTTGTGAGGATATTTTAGATACCGCCGCCCATGATCGGCAATACTTCAGTGAGTAGCTGGTTCCACATAATGGTGGTGCGCAGCAAAAACTGCCTTAAATGACGCTCAGTAGTGAAACGACGAAGGTCGAGGTGATACGGGTGGAATTTCGTATTCTTCCTCGATGGCCGATGGTGCAACTTGGTATCCGAAGAACTCTTGACACACTCCATTCCAATCCTTACGTAATATTTATATATTTTGAAAACTAATTAATTGTAAGCATTATGTTTGTGCACACTGTCCGTACCTATTATTGAAGCCACACACAACTTTTTCTTTCTTCTACAATGTTTGTTGTTATATTTGGCCTTGTTGGACAGCTATTAATAAATAAGCGCTAAATCTCATTTAAACTGGGTCTAAATACAAAATAATTGAATATACCGTCCCTTAATTTACATAAAAATTCAGTTAAACCCAAGTAATTACCGTAAAACTTAAGAATGAGGAAAGTAGGGCAACTCGAGCACATTTTGTGACCTAAGCCTCGTTTAAGTCGTAATAACTCGGAGCGTAGGGCTATCACCATTGTTTTAAACATTTATTTAAAATACTACTAGAGCCCTCTACTTTGTATAGACTTAGGATAAAATAAAACGCTCATCTTTTGGCCTCCATATCTCTTATCTGAATAAGGGGCAAACGGGCAGGAGGCTCATCTAATGTTTAGTGATACCGCCGCCCATGGACCTAACGAGAGGGCTCGCGAGGACTCTAAATCGAATAGGTTCGGAAATACTTCAGTGGGCAGCTGGTTACATATAATGGTGATGCGCGGCAAAAACTGACTTATAAACGTCGTGGAAATTCGTATTCTGCCTTTACGTTTGATGATGAAACTTAGCTGCAGAGATTAAATAAAGAAAATTACTTTATAATTGTAAACATTTTCTGAATAAAGAGTACGACAGAGTTTCTTGGTTGTTTTCAGACCACGTATTCTCGGTTACTCTTTAATTAATGAGTTTTCGCTTTTGAGGTCACATTTAAACAAAAATATCATTATTGTTTAGAATTACTACATTGTTGATTGAAGTATACAGATGATCTTCCAATACTGTATCTCTTAATATACAATATGAGTTAATCTGTACATCTAAAATAGTTATTAAACTAGTAATTAACTATAATTTTATTCTTATCAGCTATTCGCATTCACATACATATATGTTATTATGTTATTTGCGTTTCGATTGATTGAAGGCTATCAAATACAAGCGGCGTGATTAATTCAATTTAGACATAATATTTACCTTTGGAAAATTAGATACATTGTTATTATTGTAAAAGAAATTATAACTAAAATTATATTAAAAATCAAGTCATAGATAAATAAAGTTGTAAAAGCGACTCTCATCCCTGACGTCGTAGGTTCGATCTCCGGCTTTGCACCAATGAACTCTCTATGTGCGCAATTAACAATCGCTCTAACGGCGAAGGAAACATCGTGAGGAAACCAGCTTGCCTTATACCCAAATGTCGACGGCGTGAATCAGGCAAAGGAGGCTGATCACCTACTCGACTATTAGGTTAACAAATGATCATTAAACAGATGCAGTACCTGGAGCCCAGAGCTAAAAAGATTGTTGGCCCACTGATTTTAATTGACTCGCTTGTGGTGTCTACATATCCTCTCCTTCCATCCCAATCCTTTTATATGTCACTTCAAGTAGTAGTAGTATTCTAAACTGGTGCCCAAGGTACAGCTAACGAGAAAGAGGGAGACAAATTAGAAGGTGGATAGACCAAATTAAAGAAACAGCAAGTGGTACATGGCAAAGAGTGGCTAAGTGCAAAGAGGAATGGCAGGATTTGGATGAGGCTTTTGCCAAAAAAGGGACACACATATACCTAAAATTTAAAAAAAAAGAAAATTTACATAGAAACATGTTTAAATTGAAAAGTATCTTAATTAAAAGGCTATTATTATTATTAAGTAGTAAGTAGTCAAGATCATCGCCATTAAAACGGAATACATTTATTCTATCATAGCATTAAATATGTAAAAATTACTGAATGATATTTCGTGACGTCACATTATTACATATATACTTGAACGAGACGTGCTGAGCTTCTAATCAAGGGTTCTTCTGATGTACGGCATATTGCGCCTTGTAAAGCGAACACAAGCTGAATTCATATCGGCTAACCTCGACACTTTTATGTTCAGATCAAACCAGTCACGTATCTTATAAATTCGACGCAAGCTCGTTTGTTTTCTAATAAAATTCATTTCAGCGCATTTATTCTTTATATGCGAAGTCGTCAGTTGTTTTTTGGAACGCCAGGGAGTTTAGTAGGATGAATTACTATCTTAGCCATTAAGTCATTACTTCACTTATGGGCTTTGACTGACTATGAATTTGCCTAAAAAACGTAAGCTACACAATATAAATTAACACTTTAATTACATGACTAACATAACACGAAAATAGTCAAAAGTAGAGAAAAGACGTAGAAGAACAATCTATAATTTATTTTTTCGATTCAGTATTTATTAAAAATGATACACCTCTATAAAGAAATCTTACATTAGAGTATAAACCCCAATATTCAATATATCCATACCTTTAAAGTTTGGTCAGATTTCTGTAATCTATTCCGTAATCATTTCTAATAGTCTCACACCGTCCACTTTTTGGTCTAAGGCATGCCCGTATCTTCATTATGTTTGCCTTCTCCGTACGAGTGTTGGCGCACAGAGAAGGTCCATTGGTGGACATTCGGGGATCGAATCTACGACCCCAGGGATGAGTTGCATGTTGAAACCATTAGGCCAACACTTCTAGTCTGGCCATAAATACTGAAACAAAGAAAAAAACATTTTTCTATTGCAAATAACATTAATTACTTTTACAGTGTAAATTGCGTTACTGACTAGTGAAAAGGTAAAGAATATAAAAACCATCTGTTTTGTGTTAAATAAACCTTGAATCTTGAATATACGTATACAATAAAGTGTAAAATTAATTAAGTCCATAAAATTGAGGTTACCAAAACAACGAAGGCTGGACAAATGGAAATAAAGCGCACAAATTGTTTTTGTTTTCCTTAGCTGTTTGAGTTGCCCTTATAGTTGATAGTATGTATTTCTTAAATATACGTTGATGATGATACTCTGAAAAGTCTAAATTGTACGCGTATCTTGAGACAAGTGTTTCCATTTTTCAAGATATTTTTAATCTAAGAGAATATGCCGAATAATAATAGTAATCAAATTATATTAAGTGTTTACTCCACTTTTATTCCCTTTAGAGTAGATCTACTGTTGGGTCGAACGGTTCAAGTGCACAGGCGCTAATTAAACATTAAAGTTGGCGGCTGGTAGATGGTTCCGGTCACCGGAAATGCTGCCAGTATTAAAAGTACACTGCCACAGGGACCAAATTTTATAAATGTATTTTAGTTTACTTCTTTTAATTGCTATTATATCAGTTAAGAGTGAAAGATAGATTAGTGTATTTTATGAATAAAAATAATATTAAAATAAAAAATATCTATGGAGCAAAAATGTTGTGTTTTTATTAACAAAGTCATTTCTGCATCCTTTATTGAGATGTAGCTAATTCTTCAAACATTAATGCGGTGTCCATGGATAGAGTAATTAAAGAAGTATTAAATATGTTTATATAAATAAATATTTATTATTATTCTCTTACATAAATTTTGATAACTATTTATTTACACAAAATATACAGTATTTACAATTTTCTTAACCTATAAAGTAATAATAAAAATAATTAAAGAAGAAAGAAGAAAATCAAAACAAATTTAAAAAGTTTGGTCCCTGTGGCAGTGTACCTTTAACGCTGGCAGCATTTCCTCGCTGTATTGCGAGACTTATTCTTTGAGCCAGGAAAGTGCCAGCTCTGTGGTCACCGGTACTATCTACCAGGCGCCAACTTAAATCTTTAATAAGCGCCTGTGCACTTGAACCCCACGGCCCAAGAGTCTCTACTC